AGTCAGAGTCCAAGAGAAGAAACAAAGGCAGAGCAAACAGGAAGTGATTGATTTCATTTCCGTTTCTTTTTCCAGATTTAAAGATACAGTTGAAATAATAAGATATGCTGCTTCAAGCAGGAAGTAGACCCGGCCCAACAGAACAATGGAAACTGTCCTCCAGTCGGGATCCAAATCAGTCACAACAAAATGTAATAGTGCAAGACAGATTACAGTTCACGTGATCCAAGATATAGACACGGCCCTGGAGCTAAAGCTGCTTTAGTTTAAACAAAGACACACAGACGTTAGTCAGTTCCCAGGTTGAACCACAGGAACCTGAAATGAAGGAGAACTTATTTTAAAAGGATCAGTAACTCAATGTTCAGCCGTTTCTTCAAATACTCAACTTTGTGTTTCATGCAGTTTTATTTTTAAATCTCTAAATAAAGTTTTCTTTTTAATAAACTCTCAAATAACAACATACGGAGGAGGACTATGACTTTAAAATCCAGCAAATAGCCTGGGGTCCATTTTACATCCCAGAGTGTGAACAGTGACAAATAAAATACAGACGCAGTTTCACATCGCAGCAAAATAAATCCAGGAAATAACCACGGCCCAATTATAAAAGGAAATCATACATCTGTTAACACACGAGTGCAGTATGTTTGTGCTCCATGACGTAGCCATGGCCGACTTCATCAGACCGTTTCAGTCAAAGATGAAAGCAACGTTTCATTTTCAGCCGGACGAAGAATTTATTTTATTCTGTTTCTGTCCACTTTAATGAAGTTACTATGATCTGAAGGTAAAATGAGTGTTTCTGTCTCTGGAGTCTGGTGGAGAGTGATAGTGATATTACGGCTGTTTGTGGTTAAACTAAAGGTCTATCTCTGTAGGGATCCTTTCCATAATGCTGTCAGACACTGACAATAACAACCTGAGTCTGTCAGTGGACGTACGTTAACATCGTCGGTGAATTAAAGATTTATTTCCTCCAAACCAGAGTTGGTGACAGTTTGAAGTCTGTTTTTATCAGGTAGAATCAGTGGTTTTATGAATGGAGTCTGGTGGAGATGTTTGGTGCTGTAGAGCCACTGAACTGTTTCTAACCTTTAAAGAAAGTCGGACTTTAATCAGATTGTTTAGGAAGAAAGAGACTTTAGAATTATAATATAATGAAATGGGAATATGTGGCGACCATGTTTGTTGGATGTGACTAACACCTGGTGTTGACATGATGAGTGTTTTAGTGGAAGTCCACTTACTTCTTTTTCCTGGAGCTTTCTGCCACATCTCTTCACCAACAGCTGATCTTTGCTCAGTTGTCATGGAGATGGTTTAATGATCACATGACAAGAAACAAACTCCACAATCTCCGTGACAACGGAGCAAACTCTACCTGAATGTGGCTGAAAGCTCGGGTAGAAAAACAAGCCTGTCGACGTGATGAAGAACTTCATTACAGTCAGTTACAGATCTCAAACGATCCAGGTCATAGACAGACCCCAGTCAGTGTGTGGTTACGTTGCAGACGGGAAGCCCAGGAAATAGCCAGATCACAACAGAGTTACTGCACACAGGAATCAATAACATAACAGGCATGCTGTGTTCCAGGACATAGCCAGGACCCAGCGGAGAGACACAGTCAAAGATTTACAGCCTGTTACAATGTGTGTTCCAGGTCGTAGCCAGGACTCAGAGGAACTGAGTGGTGCAGTCTAATTACAGTACATTCAACAGCAACATAAATGAGCTGAGCACAATTTTATCCATTCCCTCGTCTCGTCATTGAGAAACAACTGATTCCATCATTTAGTCGTAGCCCAGCAGGCAGGACTGAGGCAGTGAAATCATAATGGCTCCAGATAGTAGTCATAGCCCACAGCAGGTCTTTAAGGTTCATGAATGCAGGGAATGGAGGGAAGGAAGAAATGTTGGTTTCAGGTGTTAGTCTGAGCCCACACCTTCTAGCTGAGGCGAACAATAGAAGGAAGGGAATGGACGGACGGATCCAGGCGATAGTCTCATCCCGACCCGACTGCACTGCCACCAGGACTCTCTTTACTGAGACGGACTAATTCCTGGGACAAAAGCTCCAAATCCTGCAGACAGAAACAGTTTGTGTCAAATAATATAAATAATAATATAATAATATATTATAATAATAACAATATTATATAATATTATAATATAACAATATAATATAATAAGAGAAGATTCCTGTTTGAGTATGTTATGTGAGAGAGAGAGAGAGAGAGAGAGCGTGTGAGAGAGAGAGAGAGTGTGTGTGTGTGTGTGTGTGTGTGTGTGTGTGTGTGTGTGTGTGTGTGTCTATGTGTGTGTGTGTGTTAGTGTGTGTGTGTGTGAGAGAGACCTCCCTCTGGGCGATCTGTCCTCCTACACACTCAACACACAGCTACACCCCCCACTGTGTATTAAACACACAGTCAGCATGCTTAAAGCTGTTCCTGCTCATCGTCATGGGAACAGTTACCGGCGCCCACCGCATGGCAACGCCACACACACACACACACACACACACACACACACACACACACACACACACACACACACACACACACACACTTTGGCTGCTTTGTGTAACTCCTGTCTAACAGCGGTGGACTACATTACCCAGAAACCCTGATCAGTCATTAATCAATACTCCCATTATTAAAGCATCAATCAACCTGATCAGCCTTCAGCAGTTAGCTAGTGTTTCTGTAGTGGAGACTAAACGTTAACAATGATCCATATCAGCAGTTTGAATCCAACTAAAAGCTCCCTGCACCAAACTCCCTTTAAGAAATATCACATTTTAACAATTCCTAACGTGTTCGTAACAACACGTAACTCTAGAAACACGAGCTAAAGGCCGTCATATGTGTGTGTGTGTGTGTGTGTGTCTCTGTGTGTGTGTGTGTGTGTGTGTGTGTGTGTGTGTGTGTGTGTGTGTCTGTGTCTCTGTGTGTGTGTGTGTGTGTGTGTGTGTGTGTGTGTGTGTCTGTGTGTGTCTCTGTGTGTGTGTGTGTGTGTGTGTGTGTGTGTGTGTGTGTGTGTGTGTCTGTGTGTGTGTGTCTGTGTGTGTCTCTGTGTGTGTCTCTGTGTGTGTGTGTGTCTGTGTGTGTCTCTGTGTGTGTGTGTGTGTGTGTGTGTGTGTGTGTGTGTGTGACCTTCTGCAGGTGCATGTTCTTCGTCAGCTGTTCCTCCAACATGTTCTGCAGCTTCTTGTTCATCTCTCTCAGGTTCTCGTCTCCTGGTTTCACCAGATCTCTGAGGACCGAACCCAGACCTCCTCGGTCCCCCTGAGAGCCTCCGTGACCTCCGTGACCTCCGTGACCTCCATGACCTCCGACCGCGCTGCCCGACACGTCTGAGGGGGAGAGGAAGAGGAGGAGGAGGAGTTCTTATAGAGTTTATTAACCTGAGTTCTGTCTGCAGCTACGGAGGCTGAGGAGGGACAAACTGCTGTGAACTGTCCTCAAGGCTTTTTATTGATGTTATTTTAGTTTTACTATCACTACTCATTAATTTATTTATTTTTTAAACATATTGACTGAAAATAATAATAATATAAATAATAATCAGAACATTTACTAATTAATGATGATGTTTCCTGAATGGAGTTCAGATCAATCATTATCAGATCAAATATTTTAATCCTCAAAGTCTCATAAATAAATACAGATGTACGATAATTATCAGTTCATATTAATAATCTTTTATTTTGAATTCTTATGTAAAACTATTCAAAGTTTTTTGATGAACTAGAAAAAATAAATGATGAACACAATCAACCAGACTCCATTCAGAAAACAGCCATTTTAAGAGTTCACACGTTCAGCATCTGTGTCGACTTTATGTTTCTATTTGTACAAATAATTGTCTTCATGTTTGGTTGGAACACAAAGGACGAAGAGGAGGAGGAGGAGGAGGAGGAGGGTGCTGTTGCTCTGTTGTGTTTTTATGGAGCTCAGTTGTACATTAGTTACAGTTTTACTATCACACACACACACACACACACACACACACACACACACACACACTGCACAGTCAGCAGCTTCTGTGTGTCTCTGTGTGTGTGTGTGTGTGTGTTAGTGATAAATATTTAACACCTGAGACTGTGTTTACCCGCTCACTGATTTACAGTCACACAGCTGGAGGACAACAGCTGGATGTTTCACCTTCTTCATTATATTTATATTTATTTTATTTTGGCGGGGACACTTCACTTCCAGGTGACAGTTTACTGATAATCAATAAAAGTATTTGATGACTCATCCTGCACTCGGGGGCATCTATGGCCTCACTGAGTAAAAGACCTACTTTATAGATCCATTAGCTAGTTAGTGCATTAACTGCTGCTAACTGTATCTGCCGTTAGAGGGGGACAGAACCGGGCTCAGCAGCGGGACAGGGATCAAACACAGCCTCAAACGTTACAGTACTCTGTGTGTGTGTGTGTGTGTTACCTATGCGGCTGTCCATCACGTAGGTCTCTATGATGGCGCTCTTCCTGCAGATATCTTCAGCCATCGACGAACAGCTCACCTCCAGATGTTTCACCTGAGGGAGAATAAAACAGTTCATCCATCAGGATATTAATTAATGTAACACAGTGAGTTATTAACTGTTTATTAACTGTTTATTAACTGACTGTTTATTAACAGTTATTAACTGTTTATTAACTATTAACTGTTTATTAACAGTTATTAACTGTTTATTAACAGTTAAACTGTTTATTAACTATTAACTGTTATTAACTGTTTATTAACCAGTTATTAAACAATTAAACAGTTAACATTATTAACTGTTATTAACTATTAACTGTTTATTAACATTATTAACTTTTATTAACTTTTATTAACCGTTTATTAACTGTTTATTAACATTATTAACTTTTATTAACTGTTTATTAACATTATTAACTTTTATTAACCGTTTATTAACTGTTTATTAACATTATTAACTGTTTATTAACTGTTTATTAACATTATTAACTTTTATTAACCGTT